CAGATATAAAAATAGTTTGTACAATTCTACTTTTGGTAGTTAAGTGAAGATTCACCACTCAGAATTGGAGCCAAACAAGCTGAAGCCTTAAAAGAGAGGCTAGGCAAATCTGATGCCCAGGAGGGAAATCTGCACAGGTGTATGTACCTCCAATGTGAGCCAGCTTTGACAGCTCATTTTTTAGACTGGTGATCCAAATTATTAAATGAGAGACAATTAGAGACTTACACAATTAGCAAGGAGAAGTGTAGGCAGTTAAGTGAAGACAGCAGTTTTTCTAGGCCAATAATTCTAGTTTTACATGCTGCTAGATTTTAAAATAAGTGTCTTTAACTTAAAGGCAAACAAATGTATGTCCACTGTCACTTGGATCTTAATATACTTACTTAGCTCCAGTATATATAACCTCTCGTTTAGGTGGTTAAAAATTTTCAGCTCATTCATAAAAAAACTAAAGGCCATACCCTTCCTGTGCTCACACCAAAGGTTTTCCCAACCAGAAAACTCTACAAAGACTAAGCTGACATTAAGCCAATTACAGTATGCTATTCAAATAAACTTAAGCTCAAAGTATCTATCAAGACTGCTAAGGATTTTTCCATGTCTCACCTGCACAGATGAGGAGAGTTCACATTTAGCCTTCTCAGCAGCTTCCCGCACCCTTTGAAGCGCCATGTTGTCTTTGGTCAAATCAACCCCTGTCTACAAAGTGAACACGTACAATACCAGCCTTAGTGGAGTGATGAATATTTAAATTGCACTGATAAGATGGAACAGTACAAAATGGAGTCATACCTTTATAAGCAAGCATGAATTACTTTTTATTACTCTTTTAAGATTGGTAGGGGAAAAAATAACCTACTCTGAAAAGATTATCTATGCCTAGAATAAGTGAGCTGAACAGACGGTCAGTTCTTTCTAGCCCTAGGATTCCAGTTTAAAATTCCTCTTCCAATATTGTATACTATATGCCATATACTTATGTGTCTCATTTGTTTCTAATCTGAATCTACAACAACCAGAATAGGTAAGTCCACCCATAAACCTTAAACGCAATTATGTCAGTGCTTTATTAAGGGCACAAAAACTGTAAACAAAGCAAACAGCAATCTAAAAAAAGAAACTCTCAATATCCCAATGTCTACATATTAACCAAATGGTAACCAACCTCTCTCTTGAATTCTTTCACTATGTGTCGTAGCAAGGCCTGGTCAAAGTCTTCACCACCTAAGAAAGTGTCTCCATTCGTAGATTTCACCTCAAATACTCCTTTCTGAATTTCCAGGATAGAAATATCAAAAGTCCCACCACCTAAATCATACACAGCAATGCTAGAAAGCAAGAAAGCAAGAAAGCCTTAAGGAACAAAACCTGTAACAAGGGCATAAACTTCAATAAACGAATGAAGATAAACACAGCTATTTTCCTGTGAGGTATACAATTATTATAAAATCTGACAACTAAGTGACAAATCTAACATGTGGCCCTAATAGGTACCATGTACAGTGCACAGAGATGAAATGAAACTCATTTTTGTTTTGAGACAGGGTCTTGCTCTATTCCCCTGACTAGAGTGCAGTGGCATCATCATAGCTCACAGCAACCTCAAACTCCTGGGCCCAAGAGATCTTCCTGCCTCAGCCTCCCAAGTAGCTGGGACTACAGGCATGCACCACCACAAAACTCAATTTTAAAGACGGTATTTTACCATGGTTTTGTACAAATACTTACCAACATTAATACCAAGGCAAAGAAAAATTACCATAGCCCAGAAGTAAATAAACAAAGGAATGGTCTTGAAATGAATAAAAAATATAGACCATACAGCCTTGAAAAAGGTAAAAGCAGTATATTTTCAATCTAAGTACACCAAAGTACAAGGCTCAATCACTAAGAAAATCAAAACGATCATTTAGGGTAAGCCTTATGGCTCCATGACTTTAGTTTCACACATCCAGGTGAAATTTACCACACAAACTTACATTTTGTCTTCTGATTTGTCTAGACCATAAGCCAGAGCAGCAGCTGTGGGTTCATTAATCACTCGAAGCACATTCAGTCCAGATATCTGGCCAGCATCCTTAGTGGCCTAGAGAAAACAAAAAAAGCTTTTTTCCACCTCTGTGTCCCAGGTACCACTACTTTTTGTGAATTAAGAATGCTAACTGACCTTACCTGTCTCTGGGAGTCATTGAAGTAAGCTGGTACTGTAATCACAGCATTTTTTGCTGTGTGCCCCAAGTAATTTTCTGGAAAAGAATCAAAGAATGAAATTCAATCATGGGATTCTGTCAGAAAAAACAGGCAATAGAATTAATGTAGCTGAACAACCCATGTTGTCCTCTTGTGGAGCCACAGACAACACTCACCAGTTTTTCAGCAAGTTACTTTGCAGCAAAACATTCTAATTAAAGATACTGGTTGAAAACCCAAGATCTCACCTTTAACATTTTAGTGAAGGTTCACCAAGCTACAATGACCTTTAGACTTAAAACAGCCACTAGTCTCTTGAAATGGAAAGTTCTAAGTTTCACCTAACAGTGACAAAAGCTTAATGTGTAGTCTTCTGGCTTTCAATACAGAGATTACCTCCTACTGGAAAAAAGAGATAAGCCAGCCACCATTAGTGAAACATCTTCAATCTGCAAAGTATGAAGAATAACAAAGTTTTGCCATTCCTAAGTTTTCTGTACAAAAGGCACCAGAGACTCATCTACGGGATGCTGGCGTATGGAGCTAATGATCTCAGAGGAAACATCCAGTTCTTTGAACTTTCCTAGATGTGAACTAAATCCACTCACCTGCAGTCTCTTTCATCTTCATCAATACAAATGCTCCAATCTGACTTGGAGAATAGAGTTTTCCATGAGCCTCAACCCAGGCATCACCATTGGATGCGCGGACAATTTTAAAGGGAACATTTTTACTGAAAGACACAAAAATTGTATCAGAGAAAACTGGCCACTGCAATCTACTATGACAATATTATCATACGCCACAAATGTCCATCTTCCACCCTAAGAAACACATGGCCGACAAGTGGTAATTTTAGGAATTCATTTAATGAAAATCTTTAGAAAACAATCAGTAACATGTAAAAAACATCCTAATGAAATCTGAACACCTTCCTTCCCACCAAGCAAAAGATTTCTGCAGCTGCTTTGGAAGAAAGTCTGTCTGGCAGTTCCATTTGAGAACGAACCACAGTTACTACATGGTCCAGCAATTTGACTAGGTATCTACGCAAGAGTAATGAAAACATATTTCCACGCAAAAACTTATATCCAAATGTTTATGACAGCATTATTCATAACAGCTAAAAAAAAAACCCCGAATAGTAGAAACAACCCAAATATTCATCACCTGACATGGATAAACAAAATGTGGTATATAATCATAGAGTAGATTATTTGGCCATAAAAAGGAATGAAGTACTGATACATGCT